GACTACTTAACTATTTTACGTTGTCATGTTTACTGTGCTCTTTACAACACCATTGTTACCTTCTATTTAAAGGAAGCTTGTAAAAGATAATTTCTTTGATTAATTATGTTACCCCTTCAAAGGACAGACATTGAATTTGTTTTCTTCTTGCTCTTCTTCTTTTACGAATTCAGACTACACGTGTAGTTATATGGAAATATGTGATCAAGATGAGATGCGCTGAACTTTTTTTTTTTACCTTGACCCATTTCTAAATCAATGTTCAGACCATAACTTGAGAACCCTTTGACATTAGGACTATGGAAAGATGAGAGTAAGGAACTCAACACGATGAACAATATTCCGTAAGTCGCAGGTATTCAGACTATCCCTAACAATACCTGGCATTGGTTAATGAGCATGTTAAATCTTTCATCTTTTTCTAGCTATCATCACCAGCTTTTCATCTCTGAGTGGAAATCATTGATTTACAAGACATTAATTTGTCTTCAATAATAAATGACAAACGGGAATAAAGATGGACAAAAGAATTGATCTCACCTGTTCACGGTTTGTCACATTGAGTTTATCGTCATGATCTAGCTTACATTCATAGAGATAAAGAATTACACCTAGAAATGATCTTCTGAGGTGTGAAGGTATGAAAATGTGATTCCAGATTAATGGATCTTTGAAATTTCCCGAAGGCATACAATCAAACTTTATACTTTTTTTGCTCAAAAATTCACACAATGGAATTTGCGAAGAGACTTTGTTGCCGATGTTTACTGTATACAAATAACTAGTATTTATTTAAAAGAATCCTCTTTTTGGTGTTATTGATATAAAGTCTTGACTATTCCCTTTTTTATACAAAGTAACATTCGTTCCTTATGACCGAAAGACCGAATTTGTTTCCCTTGAGAAATCAGATTTCCTTCAAGTCAAGCTACATTTTGATTTGCATGAGTCACCTATTACATGTATATATACCTTTATATCATGGTTCCATTGAATGCAACACTTGATACCCGTAGCTAACATTGCTAGCATCACTATTTTTCTCTGTTAGGTTGTTAACATTTTTTTTACGATACATGTATGAAGAAAAACAATCTAATTAAAATTAGATCCTTTACGCTCCTGTATTTTGTTATGTCGCTGTACAGGGACATAAAAAAATACAGGAGGGTAAAGGATCCAATTTTAATTAGATTGTGAAGAAAAATAATCAGGAATGTATTCCTATCCAATTACATTAATAGATTCCTTTTTTCCTGAAATTCACAAAATATTGTTGGGATCACGCTGTGTCAAATCAGTTCTTCATTATTTAGTAGTTTAGTGAACTCAATTAACCAAACAAAATGAATCCAGATAAGGCATAAAGACATTTAGTTGTTTTTTTTCTTTTAATCAGTGAGAATAACGCAGACGGAATGCCGAATATTTTATATAGCACATGGATACCAAATCCAAGCAAATTAATTGAAACGAATATACTTAGACCAGACCTTCCCATTATGCCTAAAATTGAAATCAATGAAATGCCGAGCGTCTTTTGATAGTTTTGACAGACTTAAAATCTCGAGCAAGAGGAAAAATGAAGTATTTGTATATTTTTTTTTTATTTTTGAGGCCAACTTTAAAATAATGTTTGCTTTCCCTCGCCCGACCCAGGATGAAAAAATTGGGTCGGTCAGTAGGTAGGTGAGAAATGTTTTTTTTTTTTTTCAAGAAAGTTTTAAAATCAATGCTGAATTTTTAAAATCTATATTCCGGAATGCATAAAAAAGTAATTGCTTCCTGGAGGTTAAAAAAAAGTTTTGAATCGGGCCATTTTTAGCCAGTCGGTGGGAGAAGGCAACCAAACATTTTTTTTAAACTGGCCTTACTGATCTTTTTTTTTTATTTTTTTTTTTAGATGTACATTTTGAACAAATGTTCTTCACTTAGTTGATATAAATCCGCCAAAAAACAAACCCAACAAAATTCATAAAGCTTAGCAAGGACACTATTTTTACACTAATAGCACAATAGCCGATTTAATATGAATTATGCATTTAATAACTTAGTTCCAATATGAGTATTACTGTTTACGATTGATATGTTTTGAAATTATTTTGACGTAATTCTGTATCGTCAGCAGAGGTTCTGATTTTTTTAATCATCTTGATAACATAACGTTGAAACGCAATTGACAAAATTCCGCATGTAAACACACAATTATATGTATGCATAACAACTGCATATTTCCACGACTTTGCGACAAACCGTTTTACAAAAGAACTTACGACTAAGACCAAAATGTAATTTTGAAAATAACTTCCTTTTCTTTCGTTAATATGATAATGGTTTTAATCTTTTGAAAAAGAATTTATAAAGATATATTTATGCTGGCATTTTGTAATAGAATCATTAATTGTGCAAGATTTTACAATCATTTCAAGTTTTTGGTCTTAGTCGTAAGTTCTTTTGTAAAACGGGCCCCAGGTACTTCGGGCGTGAGGAATGACCATTATGTTTTTACAAGAGTACGCCAAGTTTGGAGGATAATACTATTATTTATGTAGCTAATAACAGCCGAGAATATATATAAAGAAGAAGTACTATATTTTTATTTTTAAGATGTCGGGTCTAGTGGTGTTCAACGTAATTTTATTTTCTCTTACAAACGTACACTTCGACCTATATCATTCGTTTTTCACAAGTATAAAAACGAAATGACTTATTGGTTTCGTTACAATTTTTATCACTTCGCAACAAAATAAAAAAGAATGTGCTTTTTATGTCCTTTCGTGAGAAATGCAGCAATAAGGATTACTGGTGTTTTCTCATAATGTACATAATGTTTTATGAACTCTAGGACTGTTAAATTAGCATAACTTGGACTTTGTGTTAAAACGTGTATTTTCAGCTATGCATTTGCACACAATGGGGCTATTTCCTCATGTAAGAAGTCCAGGAAGATTACTTATTAATAAGTTTCTAGCAAAATACCAGTATTAAGATACATAACAGCCCTTCTAGAAAATCTTGGGTATAATGTTTCTTTAATATTTTTTTTCCCCTAAAAATCAGTGCATTTGCCTAGAGTAAACATAGTGCTTCCAGTAAAGCCAGCGGCATTGAGCGGCATTCATCCATCACGGTGCTTCTGGCGAAGTCAGTGGCATTGAGCAACACTGGCAAACACAGTGTTTCTGATAAAGTCAGTGGCATTGAGCGGAATTTGTCCATCACAGTGCTTCTGGCGAAGTCAGTGGCATTGAGCAACACTGGCAAACACAGTGCTTCTGATGAAGTCAGTGGCATTGAGCAACATTGGCAAACACAGAGCTTCTGATGAAGTCAGTGGCATTGAGCAACATTGGCAAACACAGAGAATTGATGAAGTCAGCAGCAATGAGCGACATTTGTCCATTACAGTGCTTCTGATGAAGTCAATGACATTGAGCGGCATTTGCCCAAGACAGTGCTTCTGGTAAAGTCAGTTGCTCTGTTTAAATAGAAAAGTTTACCTTTTTCATAAGATTTTAATAATCCACCATTTACAATAAAATTTTTCACTAAAAAACATGCTCATAAGGCTTCAAAAATAGATAAGTCCATAAATAAATCATTGTTTAGAAATCGATGGGTTGGACGAATACCGCTCGATACCGCTGACTTAAACTGAAGCAATGCGTTGGACAAATACTGCTCGATGCCGCTGACTTACACTGAAGCAATGGGTTGGACAAATGCCGCTTGATGCCGTCGACTTCACCAGAAGCACTATATTGGTGAAATGCCGCTCACTGCCGCTGACTTCACAAGAAGCAATGTATTGGACAAGTGCCGCTCAATGCCGATGACTTTCTTTAGAAACACTGTTTTGGACAAATGCTGCCTTTATCAGAAGCACTGTCTATGACAATTGTCGTTCAATGCCGTTGATATTTCCAGAATCACCGTATTCGACAAATGTTGCTCAATACTGCTACCTTTATCACAGCACTTTTTAGGATAAATGTAGCTCCCACCCACCAACCCATTCTTTTTTTCCCCCGATTTCTTACATGAAGTGTGAACCCACAATGGTTAACCTCTCATCTGAATGAATTTTCATCAAAGCTGTTCAGTAAAATTGATATAAATTATTTACTTAATATCTGTTGTAAAACTTTAAACATTATGTGTTCATTCTTTGTTCATACTCACTGAGAAGGGAGAGATCTGATGTCACTTGGGGACGGGGAATCTTAATAAATTATATTTATTTGAACAGTAAGTTATGCAATCAGACTTCAATAAAATAGGGTCTAAGTTTTCATTATTACAGATTAGAGGACGTTTTCCTCAAGGGAGCGATAGTTAACGTATGAAACTAGAGAAAACAATCAGAGGATGTATTCTTTAAGCTAGAAAACTTCAAGTTTTATGAGAGCTTCAAATTAAAGTATTGTATTTTGTGGTTAAAAATATAGTTCATTACTAGAAGAAATACGATTTGAAATCGTATTAGTTCTAGTAATAAACTAATTGCCTTGTCATCTTATTTACGATACATTGTAAAATATTGTCAAAGGCCATAGTTATTCTCAATGCATCATTACACTTTCCAATAATCATTAAGGTTGAACCATACAGTGTGTCACAGACTATAAATTAGGAATTGTGTGGAACAGTCAAATAAATTTTCATGATGGAATTGGCCGTTGTCAAAGTAATGTGTAATTTTTACCACCTAGTCTGAAAAATCTGTGCTTTAATCTGAAGTTCGTGAATGCTTAAAAAGAGGAAGCTTTTATTGCTAATAAATTATAAACTCACGGAAGCGACATTTTAGGAAATGTAAAGAGAGATGATGTTCAACGAAAGGGTGCAAAATTAGTCATCTGGGAATGGAATAGTTTTGTTTTGAAAAAGATTTAGAAAATATTTATCTCGAGAGTTTTATCTTCAAAACAGGGAAAATCCTCTACTGGATGAAATAATCCTAATTGATTCTAGTGGAATGAAATGTAAATTCTTCATGGGGAGAAAAAGGCTGAGATATCATTTTCGTTGTCTGTCTGATATTGTTTATTCTTATAAACGCCATCAATCTTCGCAGCTTGTGGACGTAGAGGAAGAATTTCTCCATGCTGCCGAGTTCGGGGATATTCCGTCTGTCAAAAGAATATTGGACCAGACCCCCGAAATGAATGTGGACTGTATTGATGCCCTAGGCAGAACAGCCCTACGTCTGGCCGTCAAAAATGAGCACTTAGAGGTAACGATAAATTTGATTTTCTCTAAATTAATTCTAGAGCCAGATAATTGGTGTTTTCAAGTTTGTCTAAACTATATGTTTGACTTTAATCTTCAGGGACAAATCAAATTCCATATAAACATATGAAAAATGAAATACATGTATAACAATACTTTTTTATTTTTGACAACAGGTAAAGTTTAATACATTGAGTCCAAAAAACGAGTTGCCAGACAAAACACTGACTTTCCACAATATTGAATATCTTTGTTGTATACATTTTTGCTAATACATTTGTAAGTCCATTCATTAATCTCTAACAATTTTTAAAACACGACAAAGAATTTTCATCCTTCTTAGGTAGTGGAGGTACTTCTAGACCGATCAAGTGGTCGCCATATTTATGAGGCCGTCCTTCAGGCCATTAGTGCTGGGCATATCCAGATTGCAGAAACCATTCTTAAACACCGAAGATATTTGGAAATGTGGAAAGAGAGAAAGAAACTAGGGGACGATGACCACTTCTTTAAAACCAGCTTCGAGGAATCACAGTTTTCACCCGATATAACGCCACTTATTTTGGCGGCCCAGAAGAATCAGTACGAGATTGTCCAATTATTGCTTCTAAGAGGGGAGATCATCCAAAAACCTCACAAATTTAGGTGTGCCTGTCAAGAATGCACAAACAAGATGAAATTTGATATGTTGCGGTCTGCCAAATATCGACTTAATGCCTACAGAGGTCTAGCTAGTGAAGCTTACATCTCATTGTCCAGCAAAGACCCAATTTTAACAGCATTTGAACTTGGTTCAGAACTGAAAAGCTTGTCCAGAGTAGAGAAGTACTTCAAGGTAAGTGTCATAATATAAAGATTTTTTTTAAATCAAAACAGAAGGTAATGTGCTCCCTTCATTGTTTCTATAAACTTAGCCTTTCTCGTCAATTGACCGTCAAACTAGTGATATCTCAGCAGAGATCGTTTTTGCAGTGTTCAGGATAAACAGTTTGTACTTTTGTATCCCCATTCCCATTTCAAACTATTAGATTGTCAACACTGATATCAGTCATCGATATTACTTATCATCTTCAATCATATAATGTGACTGAGATAGTTCTGTTTCAGAAGCAATAATTATATGTAGGTGTTGTTATTCCCCAGAGATAAAAAAAAATCAGGTCAAAGGATTTCAAAGGCACATACATAAAATATAAAAATTTCATTCTGTAAAATAAATTTCTGTTCTCAAACAAAAATGATTTTTTTTCAGTAAAATTATTTCAATTCTGAAAGTTTCCGGGGTATGACGTGATAGTTTTTCAAGGCATATTGAATGAATCACTTCAGCATAAATAACTTATATTCAAAAAGCATTTATTTTTTTCAATCACAGAGAAAATGACAATTTCCAGGAATTATTTCCTCATTTTAGCTTTAAGTAGTGCCATCTGACCTCACCATTACCTCTCACCGCTTGTAGTAAATGAGGTTTTGAGAAAATCTTAAAAGATGAATTACATCTTATGCATATCCTGAAGATAAATGAACTAGAGTCAATGCTATAGGCGCTCTCCTGTGCTCTAACTAAGTGATTAAAAAATATTGACCCCTTTACAGTAAAATCAAAAGGCCTACAACTTCCGCCATATTGGTCTATTTAACCTCGGCTATAAGTAGCCAGATTTTGACTTATACGGGCTATAAAACACTTATACACCAAATAACTGATCATCTAAGAATGAAAACTGTTTATAAAAATATTACTCATAGTTTGAAAAAGAGAAGTTTTAAACTTGAGGCACTTCTGACAGAGTTCAGGGAATTAAGATGGCGGCGAAGTACGGGCCTTTCTGATTGTATAGTAGAAGGTTAAAACTTTTTATTATTTACTTATTTGGAAGGGAAACGCCTATACCAATAGGTGTTGTTGCTACCACAGTTGCGTTACTCCACAAAAAAGCATGGAAAACATAACATAAATGCTATGTCATATTGTTATAAAGTGAAAAATTATACGTTTCGACATATGCAATTGAAAGACCACGTCAACTGCATAGCGACAGTGCCTTATTTTGTTATTCCCACTCGTAATTTATATGGTTAAATTCGTTCAAACCTATGGTGCACATGAATTTCAGTATATGCTTGTAATCCTACTTAACCGATAGGAGAGCAATCATTAGAATGTAAAACATACAACCTATTGATTAAACATTTTACGTCTAAATTATCGATGATTTGATATTCATTTCTGTACGTAGGAAATATCATCAAGCAATTATTACTTTCACAATCTTCAACAGGACAGAATTGATTAGCCATTTATCACCGATTTAGACTAGACAGTTTAGTTGGATTTTTAATATTGTGGATTCAGGAAATTGTGATAGGAATCCATCTATAAATTCTTATGAAAAGTCCAAATTCATATAACACAGTTATCTAGTGAGCAGAAATTTGGCCCATGAAATCACCCATATTTAAGAAATAGCAGTATATAGTAAAGAGCGAAGACCCCTAAAGGCCAAACTTTCTGGGGAAAAGAGGACAATAAGACACTCTTTCATGACTTACATTTGGTCTGTCGTAGCATGAGAAGAATCTAATGTAAAATACTTCTTAAATGCCGACAAAAAGTGGAATACAGAGGCCAGACATATCTAAACACGACAAAATTGACACTTTCCACTGATCTGTGATCGTGACTACACATCATGATAAAAGATGATATATATATATATACTAAAATCACAGGACTTTGAGGGAGATCTCTTGGATTATATTCCCCTTGAGTGACGGGTAGACACCGAATTGTCAGGTCATACGACATCGTTACTAAGGCAGCTTGATAAATTTTAACAATACGTTTTCATGGAATGTACTGTGGCAAAAGCCAATGTGCTGCAATCTGCTTTTTCATTAACTTCAAATTAATAAATGAACATAATTACGCGTACCTATTTTTGAATGAATTATAAAAGGACAAGGCATGCCCTAGTATGCTACATGTATTTGGTGTGGTACGTGTATGATATGGTACATAATGTATGTACATGTAAAGCAAGTTACATATATGGTATGGTATGGTATGGTAAGGAATAGTATGGTCCTTATATATGGTTCTTCCTGTATGAAAAAAAAAATCCATTACCTGTTAAATAGTGACTGATTATAATAAATAAAGGAAAATTTGATATTCGTCAAGAGTAATATAATGTTTTAATTAATAAAAAATAAACTTTTTATACGCAAAGTTTTAATACTTATATTCTTCAAGAATGGCACCGTCATGAAACAGAGCAGCATAGTTCCTTTTCACTCTTAACCACTAATAATGTGTAAGTATAAAATAATCCTTCTTTTTATTTTGACACTTCTATTCAAGATTATAAATATCGAGAAGGTGTTAAAGCACTGACTGTCCGCAACACTATAGTTCAGACGCCTAGGTATATGTAGGAATTTCAGCTGGAATTGTCGTTTCGAATCTTATACAGACATTTCAGTTTCATACTATTCTGTTGAAATGTTCCGTTTTCTCTGATTATCTCTCCCACTAAATGTGTGAAACGTCTTCATCTGCCACTTATTTCAATATTTTCCTTTTTATTTGACACCAAAGTAGTCATTGTGAAAAAAAAATAATCAGCTTAAATATATCGCCATGTGTCAAAACCTCCCCGGATAGCAAGAAAAACTCAGATGGTGAAGAATACTGGAAAAGCTACAGATAGGTGTAGAGTCTGTCATCATGTCCACATCAAAAATTAAAGTTTTATTTGTGATTTTATTTTTTTAAGAGATGGTGTAAATGATAATATTACCTCAAACAGTATAGAAAATTAAAGGAGAGGGAAGATTAAGCAGAGGGATTTTAAAAATCTGGCAAAAAGTAAAATAAAATTTTTCAAATGCTATGGAAAGTCGAAAAAAAAATATTTTTAAGGTTTATAATTGTACATTTACCAATTACATGTTTTAAGGTAAAGCAATAAATGAAATGTATTTTAAAACAAGATGTGTTTGTGAAACACTGATGCCTCCGTATGGCAGCTTATGGCGAAGGTTAAAGTTTTTCAAATGCAAGTCAAAATCCAGGTCAAAAGATAAAAAATGTTGGTACCCAAAGAAAGGTCTTGTGTCGAGGAATATACCTGTGAAATTTGAAAGACCTAGCTGCAACTGTTCAGAAGTTATGGCGAAGGTTAAAGTTTTTTAAAAGTAAGTAAAACGTCTAGGTCAAGGTCAAAGTGGTTGGTATCCAAAGGAAGGTCTTGTCACAAGGATTACTTATGTGAAGTATGAAAGCCCTAGCACCAACCATTCAAAAGTTATGACCAAAGTTAATTTTTTTCGAAAGTAGGTCAAACTCCTATGTCAAGGTTAAAGGGTCAACGTGATTGGTATCCAAAGGAAGGTCTTGTCACAAGGATTACATATTTGAAGTATGAAAGCCCTAGCACCAACCATTCAAAAGTTATGGCCAAGGTTAAAGTTTTTCAAAAGTAGGTCAAACTCCTATGTCAAGGTCAAAGGGTCAACGTGGTTGGTATCCAAAGGAAGGTGATGTCACAAGGATTACGTATGTGAAGTATGAAAGCCCTAGCATCAACCATTCAAAAGTTATGGCCAAGGTTAAAGTTTTTCAAAAGTAGGTCAAACTCCTAGGTCAAGGTCAAAAGGTCAAAGTGGTTGGTATCGAAAAAAAGGTCTTGTCACAAGGATTATAAATGTAAAGGATGAAAGCCCTAGCTCCAACTATTCAAAAGTTATGGCCAAGGTTAAAGTTTTTCAAAAGTAGGTCAAACTCCAAGGTCAAGGTCAAAGTGGTTGGTATCCAAAGGAAGGCCTTGTCACAAAGAATACACATCTGAAGTTTGAAACCCCAAGCACCAACTTTCAGAAGTTATGGTCAAGGTTAAAGTCTCATAAAATTTTACAAAAGTGGGTCAAACTCCAAGGTCAAGGTCAAAAGGTCAAATATGGTGGTACCCAAAGAAAGGTCTTTCACAAGGAATACACATGTGAAATAAGAAAGTCATAGCTTCAACCAATCAAAAGTTATGGGCAAGGTTAAAGTTGACAATAGATACAGACAGACATACGGACAAACAGACAGACAGGACAAAAATATACCCCCGGGATCTTTCGATCCAGGGGCATAAAAATCAAAAGACCACTATAGAAAATACAATTGACTGTAATTTGCTTTTAAAAAAATGGTTCCACTTTATTATCCTGAATGTTTCATCAATGTAAAAATTGATAAAAGTCATGAAGGTAATGATAACAGTTTTTGCCTGTAGTGTCTCTTGACTGATCTTTGATTTGATAGATTCATGAGAATGTTTAAATTTTGAATCTTGTTACAGCAGATTATTAAACCAAGAAAATCCATCATACTTTCCTTGGAATTGGATTTTTTTTTTTATTGAGAATCATCTATATTTTATAATATACTGAATTGGAGAAAATCACCAATGAAAATAAATAAACAAATTTCATTTGTAAGGAGGTATAAACACATATTGGACCTCAATTTGTAATGTTCAGTTACAGAATGTATAGTAGATCATTCCATATGCCTAGTAACAAATAAAAACAAAAGAGGCTGGGAAAACACTTTCTTTCAAGACTAATGAGCAGAATCTCACGAAATGAACTTGTCCTGTACCTATGAATTTAATAATAAGGGTCACATAAAAAGTCACAGACAGGTAAGCAAGCACACACACACCAAACAATAATGCATCCAGAGCATATAAAAAAAATCAGTAACCATTCTTTGATTAGCTGAAAGATACAATATTGTACATGTCCTATTTAGTCTTTTTCCAGTTTAGGTTATTTCAAAAGCAACAACCTGTTATGAGAATCATTTCATATACATGAAATTGACTTTGTTTCTTGAAAGAAAAATATTCACAGAAGTGATGTAGTTGTTTTAAACAACTCAGTAAATATTATAATGCATGACCGACATTCTAAAAACTGTAATAAATTTAATAGCATTTTTTTTTCTCAGTGGCATTAACTTCGACAATTTCCTCTTGCATGAATCAATAAAATTAATCAAGACCTTCTACAAATATCAAACATTGCTCAGTAGAGGGTTAACGTCAAGTCTGAATCTAGTAGATTGTCAATCTGGTTGTAAAATGGCTAAAGTCATTTTCAAATTTGGAGAATAATGATATTCCACTGAAACAATCTTAAATTGCGAAATTTCCCGAAAAATAAATATCGTTATTTTCAATTTCCATTGTACCTTGTGGGTGTCTTAGAAATATTACCAATTTATAAAATAGACTAAAATGAACCGATCAATCAATCCAATGTAAAATAATCGTATTTATGATTCCATTTCATAATTCATGAATTATTATATGAATAATATTTAAAAGTATAATATTCATCAATAATTATATGAAATATATGGATTGACAAGTCATGTTTTTTTTTTTTTGTGTGTGTGTTTTTTTGTTTTGTTTTGTTCTTTTTGGAAACATTTGCTTTCAAATTTAGCTGATTTAACACTTGATTTCACTGATTATAGAAAGAGTACAAGGATTTGGCGGAACAGCTAAGTGAGTACACAGTGAAGTTACTGGACCGTGTGCGCACGCAACAGGAACTAGAAATTATTCTAAATAAGGCAGGAAAACCACGCTTCAACCATTATGAGAGTCTAGCCAGATTCAAACTTGCACTTTTCTACAAGGAGAAAAAGGTACGAAGTTTATTCGACAGAACTCATAAAAATAATTCCACCGTACCTTCTCTCATAAATCCAATATAACAGAGTATAACGTAACAAAATCTTCAGACAATTTAAAATGTTATATCCTTTTACTACAAGAAAAAAACTCAAGCTGATCAAACTATGAAAAGAAAATGTTTTATCTTCTAAAATCTTTCAAAATCACTGACTCCACTCTCTCTTTGTTCTGTATTCTGTATCACACATTGATAGAAATTAAACTGCGCTTACTGGTTTCCGATTTTAATTCCAATTTTTGAAATCTTTTTAATACAATCTTTTGAAGTCCTCCATTATTTTCTATTTTCAAAATCAACAAAATTTTTACCATTCTTTTTTAAGTTCGTGGCTCATCCCAGCTGCCAGCAGAAACTGATGAAGTCCTGGTACTACGGTATGGGCTCTCTGGAGCGGGCTAGCTGGCCTAAAAGGATCCTAATGTTTATACTCTTTATGCTGTCCTATCCATTTCTTGTTCTTGTGTATCTTCTCTTTCCAAAATGGAAGGTTAGTTTTTTTTTCTTGGTCATGAAAAAAATCTTAAAGTGGTCAATCTATGGAAATATTATGGAATTATTTATTTTGTGGGACATGCTTAAAATTTCATTGTGACGCCAAACAAGCTTTGAGGAAGCTACAAATATACTTTTGTGAGAAAACTTTCTAAAATCTCTGTTGATATAAATTCATGAGCAATTTTTACCCTCGATATTCACAGGATATATTATAAATTCCCACAATTTCTAATGTTACAATAGTATTCCGCGCATTGTAGATTACTTCACTGTATTTATATCAAAGATTATGAATAATGGTCACCTTTATCTTTGTTGTTTATTTTTGAACTAATTTTGAAAGCATGGTTAACTATTAAATACAACACTATAAAGTCAGATAAAAAAATAAAATAATGCAAAAAAAAATTAACTCCCGAGTGCATGAGAATGTGTAGGGATTACGTGTCGCCTGCAGATGACTTTTATGCAGACGTGTACTATACCAGACAGACAGGCGAAGGACAAAGTGACCCTTATGTGTCCACAATGCTGTGCATGCGACATAATTGTAGCTATGTACCTGTGTGCACAATTCTGCATGGGATTTGTCATATTTATTTCTATAAGGCAATGAAACAAAATAAAAGCAGGATTGTAATACTGGTGTTTTCACTATTTACAGTTTTGGCACTACGTTTGAAGAAATAAAAAAAATTAAAAAAGACAACTTTAATGTGTTATAAACTATTAAGTGGGTACCGGTCTTGTAAAGTATGATTTCCCCCTAAAATCTTTTCCCCCGGAAAACTGGCTCTATAGAGTAGAATTTTCCCCCGGAAAATAGGCTCTAGAGTAGGATTTCCCCCTACAGAAAAATGACTCTAGAGTAGGATTTCCCCCATCAGATTCAATTTTCCGGGGGAAATCCTACTCTGCGTTTTAGTTATAGAGTGCGATTTCCCCAAGAGCCAATTTTTCCCCAAATAAAATATCATGGCTGTTCTTATGTATAAGGGGAGAGGGGCAACATTGTTACAAGTGTGCCTTCTTCAAATGGCGACCAGTTTCACTGAAACATACGAAATATGAAAAATTAATATTTAAAATCTCAATTTTCTCAGTAACCGTCCTACCAATTCTTTTGAAACATTAAAATCGTATTCTTTTCGTCTGGTCAAACAGGTTTCTGGGGAAAAAAATTGGTACACTGTAATTGGTTGGACAAATTTTTAACTTTGTCCATGGAAACAAAAAGGAATTTTAGTTTAAATGGGTTTTTTCTTCAATTATATTTCAAACTACATTTACATATTATTGATATGTGTCTCTCTAAGTTTCTGGTGTTTAAATATCCAAAATAGCTGCAGTTGCCATGGAACTAAAAATGAGTCATTTATTTCTAAAATTTTGAAATTTTGCAAAACCTTAAGAGAGTATTTGCTATCTGCTTTCAAATCCAATATAACTCCGCTGGGGTCGAAGAGACACTTGCAAAAGCAGTGTTTCTTGTATTGTTAGTTTTTAGTTTTGGCTTTTGTATTTTTTCCCTTTGAAGAACTCAATTCAAATACTCACAAAATAGTATGCGGAACCTTTAATAACAAATTTTAGAATTTTCTCACGCACTCTTTGTAAAAAAGATCGAACCATAGATATAATATTGGGCCTTTCAGAGGACAAGTTATCAAATCACTAAAGGTGACCTGCATGATATACATTTTAAATTGATCGTGAACAAACAGGCGCCGAGAGAGGGTGTTGAGACATCGAGTCTTACGATTTTTGAGTGACTAATTTTGCAATTTCCTATGAGTTAAATTCTTGGTTGAGACTCAAAGATTTAAGATTTCAAACTAAATTTGATGATTCTTGAGTAGAAAACACTCATATTTTAATTTCAAAAAATCAGTTGACTTTCGCATAAACTTTTAGTCAAAATATTTTCGATATGATTTAAGTATTGAAAAAAGAGGGGAAATGAAAGAGTGGAAATCTATTGTGAGATCCCCCGGGGGGGGGGGGGGGTCATACTCAAGAGTACTGATTTTGGGGGGAAAGCAGGCTATGGGGAAAATCCTACTCTACAACACCGATATTGTAAATGACGTTAACAAATGTTTTCACTCTTTCAAGGGCTCTCTTGCAATGCCTGGTATGTAAAGGGCAAAATTTGTGCATACATATGCGCAATGTATTTATTAAATTAATTCTAAAACATGAAGATTAATGCTGATTCAGATATTTTTCTTTTACTAATCAAACTCGCTTTCCTTTGATGTTCAATTTACATTTTGTTAAGAACCTTGAAATCGACATCTTTGATTACAATGATAAAGATTTTTATCCCAATGAAAGCTTACTTAAGGTTTTATCTCATTAAGTTCCACATCAAGCGGACTGGAATAATCAGTGTTTATGCTGGATTGTTTCTGCATATTCGGCAGACAGATTGTGCTCGTGCTTTTATCTCTACCAGGAAGTGCTCTACCAGACTTATATCGAATTTCATTTGTCAACAATGGTTTAATTTGTAGAAAACAAAGATCTCATTTCTGTTGTGAAGGAAATGTACACCTAAGACTATTTATCGCTGGAATAAATATTTTACTTAAGTCAATTGATACATGTAACTTCTAACATTTAGGGTTGTGTTATTGAATACAAAGTACAACAAATAATCATATGAAGAAAATACAACCCTTTCTTTGTCAGTTATTAGGCTACATTTATTATTTTCACAAATATAGCTCATTGCCCCAGGAATGGAGTGAAATAGAATGCAATGTTCAATCACAGAGCTGACTATTATCATTTCGTATTATAATTTGCCAATATTGTTTTATTTTGATTTGAAGTAATATTCTAGTTTGGCCAGGATCAATTAGTCAGAGACTGATTATCTTTTGACCGTCCAATGATTAATCTTTTCCAAACATTACAAAAAGTATTGCATCAACAAAAATAGAGAATTGATTAAAAGGACGTGGGAAAGGTGTTTTACCCTACCCAAAAATGATTTCCCTTGCAACAGAACACGATTTCATTAACATTCTTTGTAAAAGAAAACATTTGCTATACTTATTATTTACTCGATACTCTTGCTTTCTCCCTTCACACAAAGATCAACCGCTACACTTCATAATTTGTTCCTGTAACGTTGATAATTCTATTGTTGACTTTGAATCTTGTCATTGTGTTTATTTATCCAGTTATTAGAGTCTTATTTTGGTATACTACAGTACTGTAGCAAGTTAGAGACTGGAAAGAGAAAAGTTACTGTTTATAAAGTTCACAGTTATATACATGCGATTGAATTTCATCTTGTGGCCCTTAAATAAATGAATATCTCAAACAGAAAAAGTCTGAAAACGAAATTCTTCATACGAAGTTGCAAACATTAACTCTTGAATAAAAGTATCCTTGTTGGAAGGTCAAATATCATTTTTTTAAAGGCATCCAACCTTTATAACATTTCAGGTCTAAAAGGCTTTTTATCTTTTTTTCAAATAACTGTATATAGTAAAAATAATAAACAAAATCTTGTTTTTGATACATGTATTTACTAAGTTTTGATGATCTCAGTTTAATTAGGTTTCATTTTCTTTTTATACATTTTGGCTACTTAGCACATGTTAAGTTGTTTTAGTTGTTTGTATGTAAATGGGACACACAATGTCTTTTTGTTATGTATATTTCTGATCTTATGAGAGCTGAGAAATAAACTAAATACAATTTAAAATCCCTGACTAATTTTATTTTTAACATAAATAGTGTGTTAGCATGTTTTTGATTGTCACAAAGATTTACCAAAGCAAGACTTAAAATCCGTGTTTTGATAGAAAGAACTCATTAACAGAGATACATGTTATAATAAATAATACAAAAAACAAATGTAGTTTGTTTTTGTTTTTTAAAAAAAAAAAAAAAAAAGAAGTACTCAAATATCGGATTTCGCTTATAATAATATTAAGTGATTTAACTACAAATTTCAAACTACTTTTTCCAGATGATACAGATTCTAAAGTATCCGTGCATTAAGTTCATCTGCCAGATGTTGTCTTTCATTTCCTTTCTCGTCCTGATCATAATCTCCACGGCGGAGTCCACCCACACCACCTCTAACGCAAACTCACTGAAGAACCACCACGAAAGTCTCCACCAGGTCTACAACTCCCTTAGATCCACCACCAACAGGACTTTCATGGGAAACGATTTTCCTATCCGCCCCCTCTTCCCATCTGTAACGGAGTTTTTGTTATCAATATGGGTTTTGGGTGAGTGATGGTATACTTTTGGAAGATAAGGAAATATGATGGTATACTTTTGGAAGATAAGGAAATATCTGTGTTCTTCTATGGTTTTTCTTTATGTGTATGTCTTGGCAATAAATAAATTTTCCCATTTTTTAACGTTATCCTTGACATACATGTACTCCTTAATTTTTTTTAGAAAAATCTCTATTTCCTGCTTTTAATGTTAACTTGATAAAAAATATTCATTTTAGTTAGACGTATCTAATCATTGTCATTCAAAATGTTAAAAGATGACAAGATATTTGTAGCTTAATTATAAATTAAAAAAGAATTATGAAAGTTAACCTCAGAACTGCAATTTTTATTTAGGTTTCGCATGCCAGGAATGTAACCAAATTTACCTTCTCGGAGTAGAGAGCTACATAGAGTCATGGTACAACTTGATGGATTCAGCTCTAATGTGCTTGTATTTTGCCTCATTTACACTACGATATATGGTTATGATCAAGGTAAATATAAAAAATGAATTAAATAATTTGAAGCATATTCCATTGGAGTTTTTCATCTTAGTTTGATATGTGTATTAGATCTAATTAAATCGCATACATGTACAAATTAACAATTTTATACCAAAGGCTACTTCTGTTTTTAAACAGGGACAACTTGCACTAAAGTATATTTTGAATGTAAATCTGACAGATCCCAATCAGTATTTCTTTTTGGAATGGCAATTTTATTGGCTGAATGCAGGTATCTATTGAAGAAGACTGTTATTTTAGTGTTGTTAATGTTAATATATTTGGTATTTAAACTGGATTTACAGTATCCACTGCCTATATTATGTTCCTAGGATCAGTTGAATTTGTCTACATACTTATTTATCTTACAGACAGATTTTACTGGGAGCCGTTTGACCCTATCAACACCGCGGAAGCCTTATTCGCTGTTGCCAACATTTTAAGTTTTTCAAGAATTTCGTATCTATTGCCTGCCAACGAAGCACTTGGTCCCCTTCAGATTACTTTAGGTCGTATGGTTAAGGTATGTAAAAGAATATGGGGGCTTATTTACATGGAAAGAAAACATTTTTGTTTAAGTATTCATAAAATAATATAATTCATAAATAGTGTGTTGTTGCCGAAAAAAAAAACACATAGACCTTAAGAAAAATATCTTATAAAGCAGCTATGTATAATTTTTTTTTAAAATAGCCGATTTCAAAATAGATAAGCATTTAATCAGGGGATTCAGATATCAATATACCATTCTTGTGGGTAACAGCGTAGGGTTTTCCTTTAGGAGGAAAAACACATTTAAAAGTTACTTTGATGTTTCCATACACAAATAAATGTACTAATACCTCTGTTTCCAATATTTTATTGATGGAAAACCATAAATACTGCTATATTGGTAAAAAAGAAAGAAATGTCAACTTGAACGAGAAAACGAACACCTACCAAGATGACATAAAGTATACAACCACCAACAATAAGCCAATAACAAATGGTCATTTAAGTTTGTTATTTTATGAAATACTTACTACCTGAATTGACCTGAATTTCAGGAGTGGGGGCTGTATGGGGACGATGAGTATTCGATTACGGAATACTCCTCTGAAATACCAGAATGACAATTATGTTATTCGCAATGATGGTTGTTTGGTTAATTGTTAATTTACTAGTTGTTTAATTTAATTTTCTAAAGCAAAGGAAACTGTGTTCATCTTTATTCTTGCTGCCTAATGCCTATCACATTAAGTTTTGTATTTTTTTTTTTTAATTTTATTTAGGATATCCTGAAGTTTATGTTGTTGTTTATCGTGGTTATTGGTTCATTTATGGTTGGCCTACACAACCTCTATTGGTACTACAGCGTGCATGATGACATTGAAATTACAGATCATGACTTCGATTTCAAGGCAGAAAAATATTTCGGAACGTAAGTCTCTTCTCAACAATAACAATGTAAATCTTGATTTTCTGTCCCCAGTATTACATAACGTTTTTCTAAAATACCCAAATTTGTATAAACAGTTTATGAAAATAAAAACAATTTCATTAAATTAAATAAACATTTACGATTCTAGAATATAATGACGTTTTGAACATTATCTTCGTACAGCGTACTCGTTACGTTCCGGACAGTATTTTGGTCCATATTTGGACGAGGTGATACCGATGTGTTATCCCTGGGAGAGTACAAGAACAACTTTACAGAGGACATCGGCTATATCATCTACGGAGTCTTCAACATCGTCACTGTCACTGTTCTAATAAACATGTTCATCGCCGTCATGACGAGGTCTTTTCAAAATATTGCAGTAAGTTGTCATGTGCAAAATTTATAGCTGACTGCTCGTCCATTTATTACCTATCTTCTTGACCAAATGTTGTTATTTGATTCTGAATTATTGTCCTATGATTCCAACAAAGCAGCTTTATTATACAGGAAGACGCTGACTGTGAATGGAAGTTTTCTAGGAGTCTTCTGTATATGGACTATATTGGCGAAGGCTGTACACTTCCGGTGCCATTGAACATTTTGGGCGGGCCTCGCGCACTTATCAACAACGTTGCAAAAGCCTGTTGTTGTTGTAAGAGTGCTGATGGAATCGAAGAGCCTTCAGACGATGTTTCTCCTAGTAAAATAGACCCAGGACATGCCAATACAAACGGAACTTCACAAGCGGTCAGTGTGCGTTGATTCAAAAACAGAAATTACTTCAAAATGGTTTGATTAATTCATTTTTAATCAAAATAGAAATAAAATATTTAAAACTTACATTTTTGTATAGGAAAATGGAGGGCTACCCGTGGATATGGCAGCCATTGAGATTGAATCAAATACTCTGAGCCCAGAGGATATGGACATGAGAAGAAGGAGTTTAAGTATCATTCAGGAACCCTTGGACTATAAGGTAGGTCAGATCGCCAGATGTATGATGCATTATAAACCATTTGAAAAGTAAAGGACATTTCATTAAGTCTGCGCTATGGCTTACAAGTAAAAATAATCAGAACTTCATTTTCACCAAAAAATAACCGAGTGAACCCCCCACCCCCGACATTCAAAGACAATAAACTTATTGTCACAGTTGATAATTATTTTTGAATACATTTTCTGCAGTCCTCTAATAAAGACAGCTTTCTTATCCTTATCATGTGCAAAGGATGAGTGAGAACAACATACAGTAATAACAACACGTGTGATATTGTAGTGCAGACTAAATGTTTGATTCATATATGGATGTTTTTTCCCTATATAATATTTGAAGTGTACAAATATGACTTTTGACCGTGAGCCTTAAGGTTTTGGGCAATAGTAGTATTCAAACTCGTTTTTTTTTTGTCAAAAATAATTAAATATGACTTATGCCATATCCCAGTGCACTTGAGGTAAAAGACACAATGAATCTGCCACATCTCTTTCATTTTTGGATGTTTTACTGACTATAGACCTTAATGGCCAACTAACAAATGAACTCTGTAGTAAAAATATTCCAATATTAACTGCCTTTGGCATTTATGTCTTCCACCTGATTTAGTACACAAGAGCGTGTTCCAATTATGATCAACTTTTAAACCAACGCAGGCTACTAATACACAAGTTGATGATACACGGCTTTCAACAACCTTGTATAAAATCAGGATTCGCACATTCTATTATAGTTGTAAATTTTAATGACCAAATTTGTAAATACAGCCTACCTTTGGATCTCTTATTTTGACTGACATGTTTCCTACCAATCATTAAGCCATTGTTCTTATGCTATTTGTGACTAAGGAGTACATGTACTCCCTTTACTTGATCAAAACAGAGGGCCCAGGGCGGGTGTGGCCGGTCGACAGAGGATTCCTACTCCTCCTACACACCTTATCCCAACTCTGGTATTTCCAGTTGCCCTGTTCAAAATTCGTATTGTTCACAGGATATACGATTCGTTATCTTCTTATTTTCATTTGCATATACTTTTCACTCTAGATAGCTAGGCAATAAGTCGAAATGTATGTAGATAGTGATTGATTTCTCAATAGAGCAAAATAAGGTAATTGTTATCATGATACACGACAAATCGAAATTTATTATTCATTATATCAGATGCCCTTTTTGCATAGAACATATTTGAAAGTAAGTTCATTCAATGATGCATTTTTTCTTAAAAATAAATCATAATTCGAATGTCTTATTGCAGAAAGTGATCCAGACAATCATACAACGCTATATATTTGATATTCAAAGAGAAGCTGAAGTCACAGAGGGTAGGGAATCAAAGAAATATGAAAGATAACTTATTATATATTAATTTATAAACTAACAATTTGGGATTCTTTGGGTTATCAAGAATGTTTTTGGGCTGTAAAAAAAAACTTTTCATAACCATTAAATCGTAAATTAATTTCATCATTTCAGATGACTTCGAAGAAATCAAACAAGATATATCAAGCTTTCGATATGAGATGCTGAGTCAAATAAAAGTGAACGAAATTAACATCAACGAAATATCAAAGTCGGTATCATCCATTCTTAAATATGTGAAGACTATGGCGCATGCGCCGGGAACAGATGCTGTGTCCCCTAAAGAAGAGGATGAAAACACAGAGGATGCAAACATCCAAAACTTTGATAATGCAGTCGTCGACGACACAAAGCAGACAGCACCTCTCTGAAAACTTCTGTTTACTAAAAAGAAAATATAAAACTCGTCATTGCATACAAATTGTACTACATGTACATTGTATATCGTGTCTGTGATTTCGAATGTGAGATTTTCTATGTGAGTATGCACTGCTTGGATTTTCGAGCACAAGAATCTGTCTCGCCATGAGAAATCATTACCTATACTTTTTCTACTACTTTCTAGAATGGAAATATGAAGAAGCACCAAGAACCATAAAGTCTTAGTGAATCTAATAATTGTTGTCATCATCATTACGTGGTATAACTATGACAACTCGATAAAACCAAAGAATTTTATGTTGTTTTTTTCCCATTCAAGATGTGCTGTTCACTGTTGTAATATTCAGAAACCATTTTCTATTTCTTTGAGATAAATGCCCATGTTTCCAATAATGACGCATTCAGAAGGACTTTTCTATTTAAGTAACAAGCTTTTGAGACCAGTCCCGGGGTTCATGAAACACTTAGAACATTTAATACTAGTAATCTATATGTTGTGATGAAAAGTTGCAGAAGAATATTATTAAAGGTAACATCTTTTCAGTTGCAGGTGACTGAAAATGTCCATATCAAGACTTCGAGACCGGGGTTTATTTTAAAGGTGCTTAGACACAGATTTGAAGTTAATATTTACTCATTTTTTCTATATAATTTCATGACTTATATGTTGCTATAGCATTTCATATGAAAATTTGATAAAAATCTTATTTTATCTGGAAGTTATTGAAACTTCGAATTTCTGGACGCGTTTGATAGAAACATCCTTGCACTTTCACAAATTTTAACTTTATCCTTATTACTTTAGAAAAGTAGCAATTCTGTTGTTTATTAATGAAAATTATGAAAACTATAATGCAGAAATTTCAGAGTAGAAATGTAGAAAGCAAAATCCTCTCACCAGTATTGTCAGTCCGTGCTCAGTGGTGTGTGCAGAGTTTAACAATTGAACACACCCGGTGAAACGTAAACATTAACAACAACAGAGCTCGTGCCCTGTTTACAAAAACAGTTTACGTTTCACGGGTGTATTCAATTTGTTAAACTCTGTACACAACTACACAACACTGAGCACGGGCTGACAATACTTAAGTGAGTGGTTTTTGCTTTCGCACATTTTTACCCTGCATTTTCTGGATTATAGATGTAATATTATTCATCAATACACAACAAAATTGCTACTTTTCTTAAGTATTAAGGATAAAGTTAAAAATTGTGAAAGTGCAAGGATGTGTTAATCAAACGCCCCCCGAAATTCGTAGTTTCAATAATTTCCAGATTAAATAAGTTTTTAATTTTATTTTCGTGTGAAATGCTATAGCAACATATAAGTTGTGATATCATACAGAAAATTTGAGAAAATATAAACTTCAAATCTGTGTCTATGCACCTTTAAGTTCTGGTCTTTTGTGATAGATGAGCAACTTGTGATTGTTATAATATGATGAGTTGAAGAAATTTTGATATTTCTTAATATTGAGCTCATTTAAATGTTTGTCACGTTTATGTGATTTGTTATTGCTATTTCACTGTCTGAGACAGTGTTTAAAACCATCGAATGTTGAATGTCTGTGTTGATGCTTTTACCTGTTATATTTTGTTATTGTCAGATATTCATTAAAATTTAATAATATTTGAGTTTAATTCTTTTTTCTTTAGGATTGTGCTTCTTTTTAAATGAAAACGGACCATAACATATAGTGATAGATCCAGAAATCTTAAAATAGGGTCATGGGCCAACTACAAGAAAATATCTCCCAAAGTTTGAAAAGCAAAAAAGAGGCATTAGAATTTGTATAAAAAAAAAAAAAGAAAAGAAAAAAGGGTAAGTTAACATCATCATATAAAAGTGGAGTTTGGTCACCTACACTGTTATTGACTATTGAATTTATATTACACCTAAAACTGACGTCCACTGGGAGTCAAATTCTGTCTGTGACAGACACTTGACAGCACAGAGCCGGAGTTTGATAAACTTGACATCGGTATATATAAATATATATATATATATATATATATATATATATATATATATATATATATATATATATATATATATATATATATATATATATATATATATATATATATATATTGTCATATATACATATATAAACTTGAAATTTGAAATCTACTAAGCTTTGATTATATTGCATCTACCAGATTAGGTTGAAAATAAAGATAACTTCCACAAATTGTAACTCGCATCCATTTGTATAATCAAGAATGGATTAAAACCAATGCCTTGCTACGATAGTTTTGATTGCAGTTGTATTTTTCATTGCTCGTTAAAAGATTGATTTGCCTTATCGATCCAAGAGTCATTTTACAATCCGTACTAGCGTTAATTAGTGTAAAAATTTCAGTGAAATTGTATTACCTTACTTCTTGCAAAATGGTATTAACATACGACTCCATATAATAGAAAAAAGAATTGTATTTACATAACTGTAAATATATGATACTTAGTTGCATAATTATGTTTCGATACAATTACTTTAATTAAAAGTGTTTTAGAACATACTCACCTAGGTCACGAAAACTCATCACGTAATTAACTTTTTAAAAAAGTTACACAAATCTTAGCTCTGAGTAATCCAAGAAAGATGAGATCAACAATTAAGTAACAGCAACATACCAGGATCTGGTAGACAAAACACTTAATGTGGTAAAACATCTAATTTGAAAGAAAACATTGTTAGAGAATTATAATGAAATGTGGAAGTAAACGATTACATTGTTCATCATGCAAAGTGTTTGTTAATATAATTTATCTTTCATTGGAGGGGGTGGTGTGGGGGTTAAGCCTTAGATCATAATGATTATAATGGGTATTTCGCCCCTATCAATATTGTCAAATTCATGTCCCAAGAGCATTGTTAAGTTGATTATAAATTTTGAGTACTCTATGCACCTACAATTGTAGTAGACAAACTTTATGTGTGAACAAAAATCATGAAATTTATGCAGCATGTCCAAAGAAGGACAAAGCTAACACTTGTTGAGTTCCTTTAATGAAGTGGTCGTTAAGGTCTATCGTTGTCTTGTTTTGACAAAAAAGTCCTCTTTTGCATGACAAGTAGAAAAATCTATTGAGCCGATTTTCAAATATATTCTTTTGCACTTTAATTTTCGCTGGAGGACTCTTACAATAGTACATTTTTATTAACTGTTCACACAGTTATCTGTATGCTGTACAGAGTACGCTTGTCACACTTATTATCAAAAAATTGGATAAAGAAATAGTTTGATAAGACAAATCTTGTTTATTTGCTCTAGAGATTAAGTTATTTTCACACTCGTGACAAAAAGCAGCAACAACGTAAAACACCAAATACGACAAATAAATCGCAGTTTAAAGCAGCATAGCTACTAATCGCTACATTTTTCTGTATTTTCTCTTGGTGAAAGCTTCATATCATTCGGTCATTTTTTTAAGGAAAAAAGTATTCAATATGTAGATTCACATTCATAATCTTGAATAACTGTTATCCGTATCCCAAACGTTTGTACATACATGTGTATCAATGTCTCAATTACAGGTTAAGATTTTAATTTCAAGTTAAAGAATCTTAAAATTTCTTTCAACCAAACAATAGAAGTGATTGATTTGTTTGAAATAGATACTTTTGAAATATGTTATTCTGAACTCTGTTCTAATGGAATGCAGCTTTTATTATAAGTGATATAGTGCATAGTAAATATTGCTTTGTTCAAACATCACAAGTCTATGTTCATGGATCAACGTTTAAACAATAACAACAGTATAGTGTTTCATTATCGCTTCGATGCACATTGCTTTCTCCCAAACATTAACAGTTAAATTTTAAAAATGGGGGACGGTGTTAGCGCACTCGGTAGGTCCCAATTATATATCAATTAAATAATATACATATACGTAAAACAAGAATCACTTTCATATTTTAATGCTGTTGAATGTGTAATGACATTCAAAAATATAGTTTATTTTAATTGCAATAGTAATTATTATAGATTTTATACAGTAATTCGGATTTAAATACACAGTATACGCAATATTATCATGGTCTAAGGAAAGGCAAGCAGAAAGTGCTAAAAATGGACCCCAAATCATTGGAATCACTTAGAGAGTGCAAATTGAATCTCCTTGAGATTCTGGAGGTTCAATCACGTGACTGGGCAACAGAACACTATAAACAGCTGATAAAAAAGGCGGGAAATGAGGCGAAATTGATCATCACAACAACAGCTAACTACCTGCTGCAATTAAAAGAGGAGCTGAAGGATCTGAGAGAAATTCTCCGGAAACTGAACATAAAAATGGCAGAGGAAGTACTGGGGATAGTAGTCAAGGGTTTATTTACAGGTAGCTTAACTATTAGTAATAAATACTTTTATTTAGATTGAAATGTATCCTTAGAATTAAATACTTTTATTTATTTTAAAGAAAATACCATCGAACTTAGATTTGTAAAAGTTCTTTTATATTGCAGACGGAGAAACTCTAGAAACGAATGAAAAAGATGAACTTAAAAGCTTGAAAAGGTATAAGAGTGGGTACATTTATTAAGCTAAAAATAATCTATATATTTTTTGAAAAAACTATATTAAGTTTCAAAAACAATTTCAAATGTTTTCTGATTTACACTACAAATCTTGACAAATTTGCAAATAAAAAAAGGGAATTAATATATATATATTAAGATGGCTTAAAGTTTTAGTGATTCAATTTCAGAATTGGTATATGTATTTAAATGCACATTAATATATTTTTCCGTATATTTTGTACTTTTTCATATATTATTCACTATACAGTGATGAATTCCGTTTTGAGTATGGGGAAGCGGATACTCTCCATGATAGACAAGTTAATATTAAGTTGAATCTAGACATCAAAAAGTCTATCATACAGACCAGGGAGATCTTAGATGAAGTGGATGATGACATTATGGTAAACACCACAGCTGTTGAAAAGCTGGAAGATTTCATCCAGAAGTGGGCAGAGAAACTTCTAGAAGAGGAAGAGGCTGATAAGCCTACAGAAGAGGAAGAAATCGTGCCTGCAAACAATGAAGAGGAAGGTGCAGACACTGAGGCTGAAAAAGAGGAAGAAGGTCGTAAATATATTAATAAATTTACTCTATACATGAATATTGATGAACTAAGAAATAACATGCTACTTTGTTTTGAAAACATGGCCTATGATACTAAAATATGCATGTATTTTAATAAGAATAAATTGCTTTTGTGATAATGTTTACATTTTTCTCAAACCATTGGCATACTGGTATTTAGAGACTTACAATTTAGTTATCTTCCATAAACAGAAAAGAATAAAGAAAGAACTTTAAATGGAGATGAGACGAATCAGAACAATGAGAGCAGAAGCACAGAAGTGGAAGAGATTCAGAAAGAAGACAGACTGTCTCAGAATGTTGATGATGAAGATGTCGCAAAAAGCAATAATGGAGAAAACCAGATCAGTGATGACATTGACAAGGACACTCTTAAATTAGAGGTTGAAGAAAATACAATTGATGACAAAAAATTAAAAGGTAGATCCAGAACACTGACCTCAATGAAAACGGATAAACTTGATGCCATACCAGAATCAGAGGATGATGAAAAAGAAGAGGACACAGTAAATATCGATGAAATGACGGTTTCAGGGACCACTGCAGAGAACGTCAAAAATGGTGAAAAGCAAAATCCACTTGAAAAAGATGAAGATCCTGCAGATGAATCCAGAGAAGAAAACAACGATGAAATGGATAACCAAGAAAAGAAGGACGACGATGATCAGGATGAAGATTTAGAAACCCAGATGATGAATGAGTTACAAGAACAGGAGAAACAGAAACTTGAGGATCCATTTCCCGAAGAAGACTGGGACACCTTTGTGTAAAATAGAGAATATTCAGATAATAAATATTGATTAATCGCTTCATTCAAATAGTTAACTGACTGAAAAGGAATCGTTCAAATATGGTAATGTTCATAATCTCTTAGTAGAGAGGGTACTGTCCTAAATTTGATACTTGATTGAATCTAGCATAATCTATCAAATTAACATTACTAAGTTGGTCAAATGTGCTTTTCTTTGAAGCATTTTGTAGATTTCCTTTCTTTGCAGGTTTCATCAAACTATAAATCAACCCGAAAATCAAGATAAAGAAATCATATGTGTTGTCATTGCAAAACGCGATATGTTGAGACGAAATGATGTTATGTGTGTTAATTCGCATAATCCAAACGACCTAAGAGAATGTTTAAGGAATAAACACGAGAAACTATTGTCCTTTTTTGTTACTGTTAGCTTTGCAAAAGAACCAGTCGATAAGGTAAGCAAATAAAACAGAATTCAGAATTATGTTTGCGAACACAATTGGTCAATTGTAACGATGTAAATGAAACTACAATTAAGAAGTGTATTTCTTTTTTTTGTTTGTTTTAAAATGTGTCCTGAAATTTCAATCATCTATCTTCATACAGAACGAATGTTTCGTTTTTGTCCCATATCATCAACCCTCGAAGATGTTAGATTACGTGATCAGAATTCGATCACATGATGGCCAGTGGACAGATCTACCTCCTCATGACATTTCAAAACTTACGTCAGTTCCGGTAATCTTGAAATATCTTCTGAGCAGTATACACAAACATGAGAATAAACGCTTGTTCATTGGTTCAATCACAGATCATTTTAATTTGGCATTTTTACAGGGGGTAAATTTTAGTGGAATCACAGTCCAGGGAAAGTTTCCTATCGGACTGATAGTTGTTGCACATGGAAAACCAATTCGATATAATGTCCCAGAAGGAGGAATAGCAGTAGAACCTGCAAACGACAGGAACATAACACTTCTAGTTTCACCTGTAACATTCAGCAAGGAGACTCATATCTCGTGTTTTGTATGTCAATATGCATAGATAACTAGTTCATCTTCACATACCAGTAAAGCATTGATGCAAATTTCAATATTTTAATAAACTCTATGCATTAAAATTTAGGCAGATGAGATTCTTCCTGAAAGTCTCAGGGCTTACAAGAAACAGAACATGGAGATTAAGAATGTGGCAAGCGTTAGTGCAAGGTTACACTTGGTGTGTGAAATGTCTACTGAGGACGAACTGTCTGTTATATTTTATGACCTCCTTAGAAAAGGTTGGTAAAGAATTCTGATTCCATGCTCACTCCCGGATAACTCAATATAATTTTTTATCAGCCATTCAAACACTAAAAGTTTAATGCAAAAGAAATAGCAAGTGTTTTAAAGGTGTTTTAAAAGTTCTTTCATTGTGAATAGAAAATGAAGCATCCGAAAATGAAGAATCCGACAATCTCCCATATTGTCAAAAGGAGGCTCTTAGCAGGTGCTGGAGACAGCTGGTGAATGAGCTTACAATAGATACACTGGTTGAAAGGATGGAAGAATGGGGAATACGAACAAATATACAACTCGGTGGAGAGCAGGTTGTCAATGATACAGCAAACTCTATAATTTCTACAAGTTCCAGGACTATAAATTTGTCAAGAATTTATATGTAACATTGATTTAATTGCGTTGCTCTTTTATTTCAGTCTATAGATGTTGAGTTTTCGATACGTCAGAAAATCGAGGTAAAGAATGTCTTTCAAATTCTTTATATTTTGCTAAAAGTTTTCAATATTTATTAAAATCAGAAGAATAGCATTACCTATATGATAATAAATATCACGTTAAAATATAACTCCATTTAACGTCAACTGTAGGAGTAATGAAACAATATTTGCAACATTTCAGAATGAAGAAACATTGGGCGACAAAGCTCGCCTGATTCTGAAGGAGATCGAGAAGTGTACATTGGAGGATTTTAATAGTTTTATTATTTGTCTTCGCGAGTCCAGTCAACCATATCTCGCCAAACTCCTTACAGATACAGTAGAGAGAATCAAGAAAGAGCCTAAAACTGCTAGTGCTGTAAGACGAGGTAAGAATGGTGTAGAATGATTAATCAGTTGTGGGTATTTTGAGCAAAAATTGTACATAATAAATAGATTTTGTACCGATGAATATCTATGATATTGAAAATACACAACAGCAGTTTATAGAAGGATTAGTTGCATACTAGTTAGTTTTATATGCTGGGAAAAAATACTTGTTTTATTTGTTCCTTCTAAATTGCATCACATACAAAATGATTGTTCAATTATTTCATTTCGACAATTTTGTCATATTAAAGTTCCAGTAGTTCGATCTATAACACTAGTTTATCTTCCTAGGAAAAACTAACATGAAGATTCTGGTACGTCGAGATAATGGTCCATGGGTACCCTCTAATCCTGTGGTTATTCCTGAAAGGCCAGACGATCTGGTGGTCGTTCTACCCTCAGGGGGATGTGAATTTCAGTAAGTATCTGGATCAAACAACAGAAGTGTTCATGATTTTCATCTAGTGATGCAGTGCATGTACTTACTTTGGCTACCAAAGACAGATGTTTGGTCCTATATCACTCTTTGTTATATTACAGAACGGACAATTCATTCAACATTTTTTCTTTAACATAGAATAGTGGTTGTGAACTTGTCTGGTCATATCATGAAGCGAGATCTCTGTAACTTCGCTGATGATATCATAAGTAATGCCAGTGAAAGTCGTACGTCGTTAATCTGCAGACAACATTCAACTCGCCCTGAGAAAATTACTATCCAGTGTGTTCGCGAGGAAGATGTTGAGTCCAGAATAAGGCACTTAAAGGACAATGGGTACACACTAGGATTGCAGGAAGACATTCAATTTGGGATGTGTGACGGTGAAACTTTGGAAATTACTTTTGACCTCAATATAGGTCTAGTGGACATTGGTGAGGATGGGGTTTTAAGACTCCACTACTTCGATTACCTGGACACTGCTAGAATGTTTGGAGATTTGTTTCTAGTGGATGAACGTGCCCAGTCTCAGGAACCGCTGTTTTCTGGAGATCTGTATTACAATGTTGGCTCTGTCAAACAGAGGCCTCCAAGAACAGGGTGTTTTAAGATCACCCTTCCGAAGGTATAAGACTTGATTATTAGTTTACCGTATTTCTTAAAACACCACAAATAGCAATAAAAAGATAGTTTCTATATAAGATTGTCTTTCTCTGTTGTAGTCAGCAGCGCCATATATTGACAGAACACCTTTCCGGATGCTTCATGTTCAGGGTAATTCATAGCTTTCAATGTACTCTACATTCATATACTAATATGACGATCTTTATTCACTTAATCATTTGTTTATTGAGATCAAAAATCGGCCTGGTTATATACCTAAGTCATTAAAATAGACTGTGACTTTTTCATCGCAAAACTCTCGGAAATATATGAGAAAGTTTTAACTGATACCTCCATCCAACTATAGCTATAGCTGATGTCTCGAAATGAGTGAAATGCTGACCGAAACGTAAACTTCATTTAATCAACCGATTGATTTACTCAACCTTTTTGACTATCTGAATCTCTCATCTTTGTACATCCATGGTTATGCGTTGTTCGCTATTTATAAACTTTTCAACTTTTTAGTTTCTTTGAAGCTACGTAATTAACATATTTGTGATTTGGTAAAATCTTAGAGAATGATTCTCCAAACTAATGCAATCTCATGTATCTTTTAAATATTTACCAAAGAATCTTGTGTGTGTTTGGGTGAATATGGTTATGAACTTTTTGCAAAAAAGTATAAGTAAAGGGGCTTAATTGTTTGGTGGAGATAAGTTGTATAAAATACGGCTATTTATTGAAAATTGTCCTTTTCACTATAGGAACCTGTCAGAGAGATGTTTGTATTTGCTATACGTCGTAATTATGTAGCATTGACGTTTCTACTGAAATTCACGTCCCCCGTCTGTCATACGGTTAAGTTAAAATCTATTCTGTATTTAAGACATTAAGGATATAGAAATTGGTTTTACCATATGTAAAATTGCATATTATTAATATTGTTAAAACAATCATATGTGTATATGGTAATGATGAGCAATCCATTTCCACTGGACAATGCAAGTGTGAAAAAATACTAAATTTAAATGTTGGCAAACTATGGATCGATATTTATGTATATAACGAGACATATAATCCGTAAACTGAAAGGCCAGGATATAAAAAAAAAGTACTATGTGTGTTTCTAATCATGGAACAAACGTTTGCTTGAGGTGCTAAAATATAAACATGTTTATATTTGTGTGTTAATACTTAACACAAAGGACTTGAAAGTCTCAGTAAAAATCATTTGGAGGGATCAAGCTTAGCGGTTTGGAAGATACCACATGCAGTTTCTAACTATAAATACATTTGCAACTGCAAAAACATTATGCTGTATGGTTCGAAGGTGTTATGCATTTTTAGGTCACCTGAGTCACTCAGGTGACCTATTGCTATCCGTTTTCGTCCGTCGGCGTGCGTCGTGTGTTCACATTTGAACATTTTCAGCTCCTTCTCTGAAACCGCTTAACCAATTTCAACCAAATTTTTCATATAGCATCTATGGGTGAAGGGAAACAAAAATTGTGAATTTCATGGTCCCTGCCACCCTGAGGCCTGAGGGGTGGGGCTAAAACCACCAAAATTGATGCAATCTTTGAAAATCTTCTTCTTGACTCCTGGACATCAAGCAGTCAAACTGTTGGCATGATTGTAATAAGCATTGGGCCCTCAACCAAAATTGTGAAATTCATGGCCCCAGGGTCAGGGGTTCTGGTGCTAGGGTGGGGCTATATAAATCATATAGTGAAAGTGCATTATTTCTTTGAAAATCTTCTTCTCTGCTCCTGGGTATTAAATAAAGTAACTAAGTACATAGTCATAATGAGCAAGAGTGCCTCTTCCAAAGTTGTGAATTTCATGGCCCCTGGGTCAGGGGTTCTAGTGTTAGGGCGAGGCTCTATTGATTATATAGTGAAAATGCTTTAATTCTTTGAAAATCTTCTCTGCTCCTGGGCATTAAATAAAGTAACTAAGTACATAGTTATGATGAGCAAGAGTGCTTCTTCCAAAATTATGAATTTCATGGCCCCTGGGTCAGGGGTTCTCGTGTTAGGGCGGGGCTCTATTAGCATTAATTCTTTGAAAATCTTCTTCTCTGCACCTGGGTATTAAATAAACTAACTTAGTGCATAGTTATGACGAGCATGGTTGCCTCTTCCAAAATTGTGATTTTCATGGCCCCTGGGTCAGGGGTTCTGGTGAAGGAGGGGCTCTTTTTATTATACAGTGAAAATGCATTAATTCTTTGAAAATCGTCTTCTCTCTCCTGGATATTTAATATACTAAGTACATAGTTATGATGAGCATGGCTGCCTCCTCAGAAATTGTGAATTTCATGGCCCCTGTGTCAAGGGTTCTGGTGGTAGGGAGGGGCTCTATTGATTATATAGGGAAAATGCATAAATTCTTTCAAAATCTTCTTCTCTGCTCCTGAGTATTATTCAAACAAAGGAAGTGCATGGTTATAATAAGGAAGAATGCCTCTTCCAAAATTGTGAAATTCATGGCCCCTGGGTCAGGGGTTCTGGTGAAGGGGGGGGGGGGGGCTCTATTGATTATATAGTGAAAATGCATAATTTCTTTCAAAATATTTTTTCTACAACTGGTAATAAAGCAAAGAAACAAGTGTATAGTTATGATGAGCAAGGGTGCTTCTTCCACAATTGTGAGTTCATGGCCCCTGGGTCAGATGTTCTGGTGTAAGGATGGGGTTTTATTTATTTAATAATATAGTGAAAATGCATTTCTTTGAAAATCTTCTATGCTTCTGGGCATATTCGAGGCAAACAGAGTTAAAGTTTTAGCATGCAAAAGTATTTTTTAACAGAATTCTGAACACCTGGACCATTTAGTCAAGTGTTCTGGTCCTGGCCAGGGATCTATTAACTGGTATTCTGCTGAGCAAAGTAATTCCCCTTTGCCATTCACCTTTGATAATTAATCACTGTAAACAATGTATTTGAAATGTTAATAGAATAAGAGAATTATGCAAGAACATTTATTGTATAATACAAAAAGTACTTTCATAATTTTAATGATAAGGTAGACTTGGAAATAATAGATAAATAAAAATGAGACAAAAATAACTTATATTTTTAAATGTTCTTCAAAGGCCAAGAGAGGCCAGTGTGAGAAGTAATGATATGGGGTAAAAAGTAGATAATTTATTAATAGCCTGCATGGTAATGAGACAGATAGATACTAGACCAATTATTTTGTTGATGCTAATCGTACTATTTTTCTTGCTTTTGGGCAACAAAGCTTCATTTATCAGTTTATGGATCCTCTAAATTGTCGTATTGTACTCAGGTGACCGTTAGGGCCCTTGGGCCTCTTGTTTACCCATGGACATTATCGTCTAGGTCTGTTTATCAAATGTTCAAATGACGAAAAATATCCTTTCCAATCATCCAATGTCTTGTACCTAAGTTGTAATTAAAGAAATAATTCCTTGCTGACATGAATATTCAGCGTGAATTAAGATCTTGCGAGAATGTGAGACCTTTCGAAAACATGACGAGGTTAAACACATGTTAGAATTTCATAGCAACAATTTACCTAAAGCCATGTTAGAGATTTTTGTTTATTCAATTAAGTAGACTTTTTGACATCTGCTCTTCTTTCTCATGTCTCGATTCCGTCAAATTATTAAACCAGCTTTCCAAAGCTCCTAATATGCACGCGTGAAATCTCAAATTTACGAACGAAGCGAAACTACTAGTATTTTGTGCGCATGTGCGTTATTAGCAGTTGTTGTATTTATTGTTGAGCCACAATAATTATTTTTTAAACCTTCCAATTTTTTTCTCTATAATTAATGCGAACTTGACTGTAATTTTCCGAAAGCGAGAAACTCTTACACTGTAAATGAATGACGGTGGTTAATCATACTTATCTGAGAACAAATAGATCGGATCATACAGCTTTAAATTATGACGTTGCTAATTATCAGATACATGTAAATGACATATTGTAGACTCGTATGTTCTTTTGCAAAATCGAGGTTGAAGGTAAAATAAAATGAAACAGATGTATGAGAAGTATAGAAAACTTCTTTTTGAGATACATGTATTACAGATAGTATTTTTTGAGATACGATTGTTAAAAAATAACGAAGTAACGAAAATTCCATTGGCTCTAAATATGTTTATCTTCCCTTTTTTGGTAGTTATCGCCCTTGCTAAATACATCGGTTACCGGGTTGGTCCTCTCGGCAGAGATAGTGTTCTCCGGTTTGCACAGTCTTTGGTTGACGACGTAGATTTGCGCAGGCGCCTGTATGTTAAAGTACGCCGAGTTTGTAGAGGAAAAGACGACAGAGCGCGTTGTGAGATGTTTATCATCAACTGGGCACGGCAACGTCTAAAATTCGAAGATAAAGTAAGAAACATAACCCACGCACAGAAATCGATGCCAATGCCTTCAATTAATATAAATATAAAACATCATAATGAATTGCTATCTTTTTTTAATGTGTCATTGCAGCAGCCTTCCAGGTTTGCTATTTATTTTTAAGGTTGTATTGCTGCTTGATGCCCTTTGGTTCGAGCCAGACATACAAGCGGACGCCAAAGATTTTGCTCTTGTCTATTCCAATTCAGGTATTTTTGCTAAAAGAGAAATTATTTGTATATGCCATGTTAAAATGAGGTAGAATTCACAAGGAAATACGTGTAGCTTTCAATAGGATCTAACAATGATCCGAAAAAGATATGTTCCAGAGAATAATTTTTAATTATTGATATTTGTCAAATCATGCCCTGTTTGGCAAAATCTTTTCTTTGCCATTGTATGTGTTTATGAATTGCATTTTTACAGCATTTATTGAGCATATCTTGATTATCTGACATGATACAAAACTAACGATATAATATTCCTTTTTTAATTGCCTTAGGAATCCTCTGTGACCATTATTTACAAAAAATGTCGGAATTTATAGGAGAGGAGTGGATAACTTTAGGAAGAAAACTTTGTATCCCTGATCGGGACTTGAATCTTCTCAGAATAGACTATAAAGACAAGGCAGTGAGAAACTTTAAACTTTTAGACACTTTCAGGTTTTCTAGAATCGCCATTGAACAGGGAACCAGCGTGATCCGGTTTTTGCTGCGGGCCTGTAAAAGTGCAGGATGTAGCGCTGGCTTGATAACGTTTATTCGGTACATCGCAGGAATTTTCAAAGAACTCACCTTTATGAGACCACAGAGCTGGATGAGCATGAGTTCTGCTATGCCGTCGGTAGAAATCACGTAAAAATATGAATTCTGCATGTTCTTCTTCACTACATTGTGATAATTAAATTGATATACAATCCGAACAGGTTAAAAAAAAGTTAAAATATATAGGTATCATCCAACCGCCAGTATATCTCTGCGGGAATTCATGGTGGTATCTGTTAAAGATATGTAACACAAAAATAGTTGTCTTTGTGGCTTAATTTTCCACAAGGGACAATGGAAACGTGAAATAACATACAAAAACAGAATTTACCTAAAATGTCTCGTTGTAATGAAAACCATTTACTTCAGCTCATCCTACTTTTATATCATTACTTTTTTTTTTTTTTTTTTTTTTAGATTACATTCTTTTATTAAGAAAATTAATCCATGTGTTAAATGGGGCAGTATGTCAGTAGAGCATTCTAGTACAGCGAATTAGATCATTGCACAATTTCTTTAATGTATTTTTCCAACTTGTAGGGATTCATTTTTTAGAATGAGATTTGATTTCCTGACAGGCGTTTTTTATTCTAATATTGAGTACAACGTACAATTTGTTAACCTAGGTTAAATAATTCAATGTATTTCATCTACATCCTTTGAATAAATTTCAAATTTACTACACACATATAGGACATTCCGAGACTATCCGATATAAATGAACATTCGATACATGCACAAAAGGAATAAAATAAAGCGCTGATATCATAAACATCGCCTATATGCTCTCGGTGCAAAGAAAGCACAATGAAGAAAACCATACCCTTCTGAAAGAACAGTTTTTACTTCAAGGACACATCGTAATATATCATAAAAAATCTTAGTGGAGAATTCAAGCAGATGATTTTTTAAAAGCATTTTCCCCTCAAAATTATAATGTATAGAAGACTTTGTGCAGATTTTAGAACGACTTTTTTATTTTGTTATTATTTTTTTTAAAAAAGACTTTTAGTCTTTGTTGAAAGTTTTTTTTTTGCAATATATTCATTACATTTTCAGTAACACAATTATATATCTTTCATTTACAGTCAAGAAATATTTCAGTTGGCCACTTTTAGAATTCTTCCCGTAAGATCAAAATTTGAACAGCAACATTTTCTAATGCTAGAAAAGGCAAACAAATAAATAAACACTCTGCTGCATATTACCTTTAAGAAAACTCTTGTCACATTTCAAAACTTTGATCATTGATATTTTGATAGGATATGATACATTTTTGTGTACTCCCAGTTTTTTTTTTTTTTTTTTTTTTTTTTTTTTTGTATAATCTATCAAACAGTCATTTACTTCTTAACATTTAAGGAATAACTGTCTAATTTTTTGGATTCATGATGTGATCAATCGAGTGGCTTGCGTGATAGCTTGCATAAACGCCGAAGGCGTTTATGCATAAAATTATCACGCAAGCCAATCGATTGATCATCGTCATGAATCCAAAAAATCTTACAGTTATTCCTTATATTTACATGCTCCTGATTCTGCAAATTCCCGTGCTAATAGCCCCGCTTCTTTCTCTATTTGTCCCGCCCCGCACGTGTTTTTTTTTTTAACCGCGCCTATCGATGAACCAGTAGATTTATGTAGAAATAAAGTATTTTTACAATTTGTAATTTTATCTCGGACAAAGACATTGGAAATGTAAATATTTGATAATAAAACTTGGGAGATTTAATCATTCAATTCATATTTACAAGTACATATGTATTCGTTTATATTCATAGTCCTTTTTGTTTATATAATTTTTTCCGAATTGTAAATAAATAATTTAATGATTAGTGTGGATTTATAATGGCCAGAAAAATGCACTGAATGGGGTTAAATAGAGCTGAATACTAGCAATGCAGTGTTAAAATAGTATTCAATAATTTTGCAATTGTCCATTTCCAAAGTCAGTGACATAGTCATTTTTATTACTTTATCAACACAGAGAATAGTTTTACTATTTGCATCCTATTTGCATTGTCTGCTAAAACATATACTATTTATAGTAATTAAATACATTTAGTTATTTATTTATTAAATAGCAAGACTCTGTTGAATTGGGTATAAGCAAACTGTAAATCTCTCTCTCTCTCTCTCTCTGCGAAGATAAATCTAATTTGTAACTCGGGCAGTGTGCCAGTGGAACATGTGAAGGGGAAAAATCGTACAGAGCATTGCGTCATTGTTTGATCTTTTAAATTTAATGTATTTTTTCGGTTTCTAGTGTTACATTAAAACGTTTTCATTTCAGGTATGTGGTTTCCTTTAGGAAGGTTTTTTTTAATTCTTAGTTAAATATTCGTCCTAATTGGTTAAAAAAGACACTGTGCTACAGTAGCACTTAAAAATATAAGAGAACAAATTGACGCCTTTTGTGATTTATCTTTGAAAGTCACGATAATATGCAATATACATGCTGAAGAAAAAGACTGCACAAAAAGAAAGCTTAATAAAATTCTAATATTAAAATCACCCCCTTTCTAAAGCCTAAGCTCTTAGTCCTTGTTCTCTGCTTCCTAATTATACATTGATTCATATGCAAAGGAGGGCGATCCTCCACGGACTGAAAATAAGCAATCATGAGTAATTATGAGACTTTTGAAACAGAAACAGAAAATAAAAATGATATTCGAGCAAAGTAAGTCTACTAGGGAAACGTGTCAAAAATGTAGATGAATTGTTAAAAGTGGAGATTTTTATACGACGTATCCAATTTTTTTTAATTCAGGTTAGTCCTTAAAACAGAGTTATTCCTCTTTGAGCAATGTTTAAACATTGTTCATTGCTTTCTCTCTCTCTCTCTCTCTCTCTCTCTCTCTCTCTCTCTCTCTGGATTTAGAGGGGAGCACGCTTCCCCTCTTTTTTATTTTTTTTTTTTTTATCAAAATAATTGACAAGCATTAATTTTTTAAAAGGCCTGAAAAACTATATCAAGCAAAATAAAACAAAATACACTGCCAAACTCGAAAAATCTCTATGGGGGGGGGGATAACATATTTAACCGTCATTGTTTTTATTTTAATTAAGAATATATCTTACATATTCAATAAATTTAACAAAACACGGTCTAAATTTATGCAATACTCTATGTAAAGTAAATTAGAACATATTTAGAAATGTTCCCAAATATTCTGTAAATTGAGCATATAAACAAAATGCTACAGTTCCAAAATAAATATTTTATTTGATATTTAACAGTAAAATATTTATTTGGAACTGTAACATTATGTTTTTATTTATTTAAGTATTTATTACTGTGCCAAGACTTTGATTTTCCAATTTCAATTCTTTATTCATTCAAAACCAGATCACTGGTACAAGAGGTACATGTATACAAACAAAAATTACAGTCAATGGGTAAAAAAAAATGGACAAGTATATGAAGAAAAAAGAAAAGAATGAAGTAAACATATAATCAGTTATATATATGGAGGATTTTTCAGCATCAACACTATATATATATATATATATATATATATATATATATATATATATATATATATATATATATATATATATATATATATATAAACTTTTTCCCCCAGCTTTTGCTTTGTATGCCTGTTCTCTTAGTGGACATACAGTGTAATTATGCGTCATTGAACGAGTGTTTATTTTGATATTACATGTATACATTTATTTTATGTTACATTTTTTTTCATATAGGACTCTCTTTTTTCTAAATATTTACCTAATCACTTGTATAAATAATACAATGTTGAATAATACAAATGAACTTAAAATTTAATTCATCAAACTTATTTTGTAATAAGTATAAAACTCTGTATCGTACATGAAACTGTAGATTTATGTCTTTTTTTACTGCCCAAATAGAAATACAGACACAGCTTGATAATTTCTCTCCTTAGTTTGACAGCGAAAAAAATCAAACAAGTACATGAACTCAGATTCATGAGGCTCCTTAGCAGATGTTAGAAGATTAATAGAAGTTGTGTGTACAAGGTTAACTCTTGACAGGGGGTTGAATTTCAGTCAGTCGCCGGTCATTGTGCCAAGCTAAAATAAAAAGCAAACACATGTTTTGAAGATGCGTACTTTTTCAACAAAATTCCACAGGTATCTTTTTTTTTTTCTACACGTGAAGTTGGTTTCGTAATGAAGAGTTTATAGCTACACTGGGTTTACACTATTAAGAGACTGGTCAGCAAAGTTCGCACTGTATTTATCACTGACCAAACCGAACTGGCAGCTGCCTAAACAAAAGATGATTAGTTGAGGAAAAACGAATAAATATTTAACATTTTTGGACTCTCCGCTCCTGTCGCTGTTGAAGATTGGAGGCCAGCTTGGCTGTCATTCAAAATGGGTGGAAGTGCTTAAATGTCTATAAAGAACACCTTGACACTGTGTATCCATATTCATCTGTTCTCTTCATGCGTGTAGGACATCCATACCATTCTCCTGTCGCCGGTGGTCATCGGTCAACAACAAAATACGTTGCGCAACTGTCGGACGGCTCGACTGAGGGAACAACTTTTTCTGTCTACAAGGTGTCGGTGGGACATTGTCTTAAAAATATCTCCTAATTAAAACGGGAAAATGCTGGGAATTACTTCTGTGCTCCCTGTTCCTTTAACAATTATTCTGGTAATAATTGTTGTTGTGTGTGCCTTTGTTCTTTTTCTTCAACATCGGGGTATTGCTACCACAGCTCCGGGACCATTTGCATGGCCTGTCTTTGGAAATTTACTCAGTCTAGGAAAGAAGCCGCACGAATATCTGACTTCCCTACGTTCTGTCTATGGGGATGTATACCAGATCAAAATGGGTAGCCACACGACGGTAGTTATAAATGGACTCAAGGCCATGAAACAGGCATGTATAAAACAAGCGGAGGACTTTGCAGGTAGACCAAATTTTTATTCCTTCCATTATATCGCTAATGGTAAAAGCATGGGTTTCAGTGATTATGGACCAAGATGGAAGCTTCATAGGCGTATCGCGCAGAATGCCTTGGCCAATTTCACAAACAAAAGGCACAATCCCATAGAAGAGGACATTATCCAGGAGGCCGAATTTTTGACAGCTAATTTC